TAACATACAAAGGCAAGCAAATCAGATTAAGCTCGGATTTCTCAACAGAAACCATGCAGGCAAGAAGGCAATGGGGAGACATATATAAAACCCTGAAAGAAAAAACTGCCACCCATGAATCCTCTACACAGCAAAGCTGTCAATCAAATACGATGGTGTAATCAAAACATTCCAGGGCAAACAGAAGCTAAGGGATTTTGCCAAAGCCAATCCTGCTATAAAAAAACATCCTAAAGGAAGTTCTGTGGACTGAGAACCAACAAGAACAGACAACAACTACAGAATGACGTACATGGCAGTATCACCCTGAACTCAACTGAGAAATGGAAGAGTCAAGAACAGAATAAAATGATAAGAACAGAGGATCAGGAAAAACCCAAAACAAAAATGTCAGCATGACTGGCTACTACAAGAATAAGCAAGCTGTTCATCAGGAATACATCAAGGCTAGCAATCAAGTGCCTTCAGGATAAACTCCCCTCTAAGACTGAAACTCAAAGGGAATACACAAATAAGCATGTAAGCTTGCTGGTGACCACATTGGTCTACTGGTGAGTGGAAGAGGCAGAAAGGCATCAATGAAGAAATGGGCTGAGTTCAACCCCAGTCCATTGAATCCCGTTGACCTGGAGATGAGAGAGAGAAGAGGAAGGGCTGGTTGGCCCAAAGTGTGGTGAGACCTGAGGACACCTGAGCCCATGGACAAGGACTTAGCCACAGGGGGCTAGAGCTGAGAGTGAAGCATCCAGCTGATATGAAGTGAGGGGAGATGCACAAGAACACCCAAACTTGCAGACAGTACCCTTTTGACCTAGCCTCGATGGCTCAATAATCAGAACTCGACTAGAGGAAGACTGAAAAAAAAAAAAATTATTTATCTTTGGATAAAGGAAACAAGGGTAAATTGCTTCAATTTGATGAACCTGACCTATACTCAGAGCGGTGGTGGTAGCTGTGTGCCATGGAGTCAGTTCCGACTCATGACGACCCTATACAGGGTTTCCGAGGCTGTAAATCTTTACAGGAGCAGAACGTCTCATCTTTCTCCCACGGAATAGCTGGTAGTTTGGAACTGCTGACCTTGCGGTTCGTAGCCTGATTCATAACCACTATGCAAGCAGTAGTTACTCTAAATACCAACAGAGAGGGAAAGAGCCTTCACATCAAGTATCAATGCTATCTGCTCTGTACACAGGGTAGATAGGGAGGGGAAACTTAGACGTTGGCTACGTAAAATGAGGGGGCAAATAAAGGCACGAAGTGACTGGCTTACAAGGTTTCAAGAGGGAGTTTAATTTAAGAGTATGGGGGGAAAGAAAGAGTCCCCACTGAATAGCTGTCATCTTGTCTAGATGGGTCTGGTGAAAAGAGATGGGGATAAGACTCGTAAGATTCAACAGTGAATAATTGTTATCATGACTAATTGCGACTGTCACAATTGTAAAGGCAGAAGTTTTGTAACAAAAAAAGGAGAGTGGTTAATTTTACAGTCCAGAAACAGAGGACCCTAGGACCATCAAGAGGGAAGCACACAAGCAGAATGCAGGACCTTATCATTCAGAGAAGCAACAGCGCCAGAGAGGGAGGCAGAGATGGGGACACGGAGAAGGGGAGCGGCTGAGGACTCTAGATTCATGAAAAGAGAGGAACTGAGAGCTGGTGGCCAGGAGGCAGACTTGCAGAATGTGCCCTTTGGAGATGTAAATTATTATATATGCCTGAGTGGTTTTGTTTTTTTGTTTGTTTTTTAAAAAGCTAAAGTAGATAGAAATACTATTAACTGATGGTACATGGAGGGGATCATAATCATTGTAATGAAATAAGGTGTATGATTTGTTGAATGCAAAACTGATGATCTGCCCTTGTAAACTTTCACTCAATCCACAATAAAAACCTTAAATTAAAAAAAAGTTAAAAAAAAACACCAGCAACCATATTCACTCTGAGTTCTTAGGGCCAGAGCTGAGGTAACATCTGTAGAGATCCCAAGCCTCTTGATCTTTTCTTATAACCGTTTCAATGGCAGGAAATCTCTTGGATCTACCCAACTGGGGCTCACCCCCTTTTACTGTTACTCTCAGCATGGAAGGGGTTAAGAGTTGCCAAGAAAAGCTGGTCATAATGAGGTCAGGGTCTGTCTGTCAACATTCTTCTCCGAATCCCATTTAAGAGAAGGCTCCCAGAGAGTTCTCACAGCACTCGCCCCCACCTTGATCCTGTCCATCCCCAGCTCTATAGTTACAGTCCTCTTGCCTTTGGGGATTAGGTCTCTGTGTCCACTCTTTTTCTAAGAGACACTTCATCCGTTTTGGCAGACCAGCTTGGACACTTCTCCCAAGTTGGAGTTAGAGTCTTTTTCGCTTCCCTTAAATTCTGGACTGGCCTTATGTTTTGCTCTAATCAATAAAATGCTTAGCTTTTAAGAGATCTGGCTGCTTCTGCTTTTGATCTGGGAGATGCCAGCTGCCATTTAAGAAATCAGACTGCTCGAGACTGCCATATTCTGAGGAAGTCCAATTTAGACACATAGGCAAGTTATCTAGAGAAAGAAATGCTGGACAAACCCTGAGCTGTTTCAGCCATTCCAACCCAGGCATCTGGCATGTGAGTGAAGACACCAACTTGAACATTCTGGCCCCAGCACATGTCACATGGAGAAAAACTAAGGAATCCAATTAACGGACAGAACTAAGGCACCAAACAGATGGCCTCAGTTGAGCCATCCTGGACATCTCCTACTATTTGATCCACCCCAACAGAGGTCTCAGTTACTGGAGAGCAAGATCAGGCCATTTCCATGTGCACTGCTGAATTCCTGACACATGAAATCGCTGTTACTTCAGAGTTTTGGGGTGGTTTGTTATAGATAGTAAGTGGTAACAAAAGCACTGTCCTTGGATGAGGAGTCCTGATATGATGCTTTAGGGTAAGCACTGGACTGTTAACCACAAGGTCGGTGGTTCAAACCCACCAGCTGCTCCTCAGAAACCCTATACAGGGTCGCTATGAGTCATATGCCTCCTTGAGTCAAAGTTCATGCACAAGGGAGTGGGCCAGCTGTAATCAGGGTCGTCCCAGAGTGGGGGAAAGCTGGGTAGCTCATATAGTGCTTAAGCCCAGAACTGAGGTCTTCAGCCCTTGGTGGTCAACACGAAGAGACCCTCATTTGGTGGATAGGATTCTCCTGTCTGAAGCCAGTGGCCAAGCTGGAGCCAGGCCCAACTCTCTTGCCCCAAGCTCTGGCCCCCACATCCTTTCTCTACTACAATGGAGCCTCGACTTGGCTCACCTCCTTACCCATTAGGCTCATTATAAGGTTCCTGGCTCCAGCCTGGACATACCTGAAGTCCTTGCCGTTGTAGAAGTCCCAGGCTGAAGCATGACATACCACCTCTCGCCCATCTGTTGGTTTCTCCAGCATCGACTTGTTCCAGAACTCTGGGGGCACAGGCAGCAGCCCCAGGGAGATGAAGAAATTGTTGGCTTCCTCAAACATCCTTTTGGGTGTCCAGCCCTACAAGCAGAGGGTGTGTTGCCAATATTGAGGGCCATGGGGATAGAGTGTACCTTAGAGAGGAGAACAGCTGCTGCGGGAGGACCCGGGGGTAGGGGGCGGACTCCTGAATCAGAGAAGCCTCTCCCACCCAGGCAGGGGCCTCCCCTCCCCAGTGCTCTGGGTGTCTATGGAGGAATAAAAGAGTGGGAGGAGAGGGCCCTGGGCACGGACCTGCTTTATCATGGCCTCGGTGACATCCAACTTGGGGGCTGAAGGGAAGGGTACTACCAAATCGTAGATGTTGGACCAGCTCTGGGCCCACATGTTCCCTGGAAGCAGGTGGGAGAGAGGAGACACAGATGTTGTTAGACTCACCACCACCATGCAGGAAAAAGAACCTATCCTGCTAATCATAATTGTGTCTTTTATCACGTGTGCTGGTGGTGGAGCGCCATGGAGTCAGTTCCGACTCATAGCAACCCTGTATAAGGCTTCTGAGGTTGTAAATCTTCATGGGAGCAGAAATCCTCATCTTTTTTCTACGGAGCTGCTGGTGGATTCAAACTGCTGACCTTGCAGTTAGCAGCCCAATACATAACCCACTACACTACCAGAGTTCCTTAAGTTCAGCATCTGCTGTTTGCAAATTATGCTAAGCATTAGGCAAACATTATCAATCCACATGTAAGATCTGCAATGCCAGTCATTGCATTGGCTAACAGATGAGGACCTTGTGGGTCATCAGAGAATCAAGGTGGTCTTCACTATACTTGAAGCAGTGAAGGCCAATGGGACTAGTATCTGTTTACAAGGAAGCTCTGGTCCCTGGAACATCCATACATGTGCGATCACCTCTTAATGAACATTGCATCAGCATATGTGTAGATTAATGAATAATCCTCACTGCAACCAGATACTGCCATGGTTCTTACTGTGCAGCAGAGGAAACTGAGGCTTGGAGAATTACATAACTGGCCCATGGGCCTAAGGCTCCGAATGGATGGGGCTTGGAAGGCAGGCAAGTGTCTGCCTCTAGAACCTGTGGTCTTGACCAGCCACTCTGTCCTCTCTGTATGCCCCAAGGTTGGTTAATGCAGGTCGCCTGTCAGTGACTCTGGCAAGAATCACTGGTGTCCTTCCTTCAGGAGGAAAAGAGAGCCCAGTTCTCCAGGACTGGAGAAAATGAAGACTACAAAAAACACATAGAAGGATTCAGAAACGTATTTGAAGCAGAGACTCTTTACTAGTCAAGGGAAATTAAACATGAACTGACATCAGGTTGGAGTCTCAAGGTGAAGACGGTGAGAGTGAGTAAGTAGAGAGAGAATAAGCATGTGAATGACCAGTGAGCAACCAGTCCTCTTTTACTGATCACTAGGGGGCAGAATTCTAACTTCAGTTCTACTCCTGCTTTCAGGGTCTCCTGGGTATGTTGCTCCCCTTCTTGGGGGTCTTTGTTTCTCAATCATTAAGCTAATATCCCCTCTGATGTTCTTCAGTCCTATTAGAGAAGGACCACGGAGGGCTGGTCTTGGGCTTCAAAAACTCTCTGGTCTGAGCAGAAAGCTAGACACAAAGTTGGAGCATTTGTCCCTGGGATCTCCCTATGATCTAGAAATGATCTGTGACCCATGTGGGCTCTATGCTCCCAGTATTGGGGGTGTGGTAACCCCCTGGAAAGTTTTCCCCATGGCTCAACAGGGACAGAAAACTGGTAGCCTGTACTTTGTCCAGTCCCTCACCTAGCAGATGTGCAGGAATGGGTCCCTCCAGGTTGATGTTCTCGGGCCCATAGTGGCGGTGCAGGGCGCGGCGCACGTAGGCATGCAGGTTCAAGTAGAGTGGCTGAAGCTCCTTGAAGAGCCGCTCCAGGTCGTGTTCCAGCGATGGTGTCTCGTACATGGCTCTCCACGAGTCCCCTGTGTCTTCATAGCCTGTAGAGGACACAGCCAGGCTCTGGGAACACTAGGCTGCCTCCTCAGGACCTACCTCTCCCCAGTGTTAGGGTCTCAGAGGGACCAGGGACCAGAGAGCAGGTGGTCATGGCAGGAAGAACTCACCGTTGAGCCTTGCAGCCTTGTTGCTGAGTTCCACGTATTTGGGGAAAAAATTGAGGATGGCTCGTCCTACCTTGTCTCGCCAGCCCTCCCACGCCCACAAAAGCTCTTTGTAGTCCCGGGATGTGGCCATCAAAGTTGTCAGATCTGGTGGCAGAAGGACATCGAAGGGCTTGAGTCCTCAAGCCTTTGGTGGTCTCCCACCTCCTCACAAGGTGAACCCAGCTGGGGTTCCAGTTGTTTTTCAGAACTTCAGAGCTGGACTAAACCTGGTGGTTCAGCTGGAAGTATCTGTACATCTACTGAAACGGGAGAAAGGACGGGTGTGACACTTGCTGGGGGCTTAGGCAGGCCAGGCTTGGGACTGGGGGTTGTCCACACATGCTCTCAGGTGGCCATAAGGATTTCAACAACCTGTCAGTCATGTGCTGTCCCTATTCCACATGAGCAATGTGGTAGCATGGCTGGGTCCCCCAATGAGGAAGGTGCAGGGCTGGGGTGCTTCCTGACTTGCTCATTCCTGCTCACCACCCTCTGCCCCTGAGGGGAGAAGGCATGGAAGCCAAACACCCCAAGTTCTTTGTCTGGTCCTGTGACTAATAGACAATATTCTCATGGACAGATCACTGAGCTGCTCTCTCCGTCTTTAAGATGGGGATGATATGAACCCTCCCAAGGTCCCTGGGTACCACAAATGATTTACATGCAACAGGAAGCTAAAGGCTGGCAGTTTAAACCCACTGATACCACAGAAGTAAAGACCTGCCTATCTGCTTCTATAAAAAAAATCCTAGGGGGCAGTTCTACTTTGCAACACAAGGTCTCCATGAGTTAGAATGAACTCGTGGGCAACACCCACCGAGACTACCATCAGCCCTCACAGAAAGCGCAGCTCAAATTGGAGTATGAGGTCCCTGAGCAGGGATGTACTTGGTTCATCTCTTTGTCAGCCACCCCCTCCCCCAGGTCCAGGGCATCCACAAATTGGTCTTGAACTGGATTGAATGAAAGAACAGTTGTGGAAACTGTGAAAATATAAAGAACCAAGTATTCTCAGGAAGCTAGAAGCTCTGGGTTCGTGGCCTTCTGGAGCTAAAACCTGGGAACAAAGCTCGAGTGATGATCACCTGAGACCTGGATGTCAAGTCTGAAGCGTCTCACAGACATAGGGGTGGCTTCCCTTTGTCCTGGCCCTGCCCAAGCCTGAAGAACGCAGAAAGCATTCGGTGCTCTCCAAATCCTCGCTATTGGATTTGTCTCGGACTCTTATCTTAGTTTGGAACATGCTGTAAAACAACTATTCATTTTTCACTGAGAAAGTAAAATCAGATTCATTTTGTCTTGAAGGAATCAAGTTTGAGGATTTCACATCTGTCCTCTAGTGATAAGAGTTTTTAGTTTTTGTGGATGCTTCATATTACTACATGGCAGTGACCTGGTGAGCTGGCCCTGGATTAAGGAGCTGGCCAGTGGGGGAGTGGACACCATACTTCTTTCAACGCTCTTCTCTGTAAGCTCACGCACACACACACACACATCCTCATCTCCCCAACTTGCGTGCTTGTCCACATACACAACAACCTCCAGACTCAACCCCTGTCTGGGAAAACGGCTTCTCTTGTCTGTTTATTTTCCATTTCCCTTCCTATTGGCATTGTTTGAATGTGGGAGTTGGATGGGGAGCCAGGAAGAGACCATTTCTGGCTAGAGATTCCTGCAGAGGGAATGTTTACATCTCTAGCTCCCCTGACCTTGGAAAGGGTGGGGCCGGACAGAGTAGGGATGAGTCCGTGTGTAGGGAATTGACTGTGGAGGGCTCTTTCAAAGGGAAGAAGGTTGGAAGGACTGACCAGTGTGGAAGGAGAGGGTATGGAAGGAGTGGAGTGGGAATATAGCATGGACTAAGGAGTGTGAGTCTGCGCTTCTACCAGCCGTGTGTCCTGTCTGGGGTGAGGGTGGGGTCGTAGAGAACCAGAGCAAGTGAGGAAGATAATAGGAAGGAAGGTGACGGGAACATGTGTGGCGCTCATTACTTGGATGTCCAAGTACCTGAAGTTAGTCCATGGCTCTGAGGTGCAGAGTGTGGAGAACCTTCTTCTGGACCAAAGGAGGGGTCCGTGCACTGAAGCAAAGGGGTGTAGGCTAGCTGCTGATCACTGGCAGAGAGGAGTGTGAAGGAGCTGGGCCTGTCTATCCTACCAGTGAGGAAGACTCACCTGCCAGCACCCCAATGCTCTGCACCCCAACCCCCAGTCTCTCTCATCCTCCAGGTGTGCTCACCAGGTTCGAGCTGTAGACAAGTGCCATTCAGGTGGCAGACAGAGGCCACGCTGTACGTGGTCTCCATGTCCAGCAGGATTTTGTTGTACTGCAGAGAAGAAGGGAGGTGGTGAGCTGGAGTACTGGGTTCCCGGCCCCTCTGCTCTCCACTCCGCTTCAGCCCAACCCCCCACCCCACCCCCTGCTTCAGGCTAGAAGAACTGGAGGATGGAGTGGCTGGGGAGCATGCTCCCCCAAATGTTGCCTTTGCAGTAATTCTGTAGATGTGTGTCGGCTTGGTCTATAAATCAAGGAAGTGTGCCTGGCTCACTCCCCTAAGCTAAGTCCGGACTCTGACTTTGTATCCTCCAACCCACGCACCGCCCCCCTATCCCATACCTGCTCCAGTTCCTCCGTAGGCAGCGCTGCCCGCTCCAAGTCTTGAACTTTCTTTATGATACGCTTGATGGAGGCATTCTGGAAGTGGGTCACATCAAACTGCCTGGCTTGGGTGCCATACTTCAGGGTTTGGTTTGCCAATTGCATGTTCTTTTGCAGCTGAGGACACAGGATAATGGTGTCATGGGGCTAGCAGCTATGCAGAGACCTCTGAGCAGGAGGCATTACCCAAGGGGGCAGGGGTGGGGTGAGGGGGACACTTTGCAAATGACTGCCCTTGCCTACAAGACTCTTTTCAGCCTAAAGTGTGTGATAACATTCCAGGGCAGTAAGTGCCCTCAACAGGTGCCAACTCTCAACAGAGACACATCCTGGCAGGCTGAAGAAGGGAAAACCAATTGTACATTAGGATGAGCTTGGGGTCTTATCTGTGGTATAGAATAAGAGCATCCATTTGCCAGGCTATTGAGGAATAAATGAGGAACAGAGCCCAGGATGCAGGTCTGTTTATTCTCTGTGGCTGGTCTACAGCTCACCTAGGTATCACCTGTGCTCAACCAAACAGGTGGGGAAGGAGGGTAGAGGGGCAACATGGATGGTCCTTGCTATGGGTGCAAACAACCTTTTAATCTTTTAGAAAATGACTTTAGCATTACAGTTATTTATGGATACAGATCATTCCCTTTACTAACAAGAGATTAGTAGTGACAGAAGTTATTTATTGTGCATGCCCACAAATATGACCTTGAGTATTGTTTTAAATATTCCATTTGGATTTTTCACAAATTCCAACAGTCATCCCCACCTCCCACTTCTATAACCTTGATTTCTCTCTGAGGTGACATCAGGTAGAAATAGGAGGATGCTCTCAGCCCAGGTTCTTTCCTGATTTGGAGGTGTGGTCCCTGGGGTGTGTGTGTGTGTTTGTCTGTCGGTGTGTGTGTGTCTAGAAATGACTCCCACCAGAATCTTGCTGGCCTCTGTGGTGATGTTGGTGTTGTAGTTCCAGCTGGCCTCTGCGTTTTCATTCCACATAACCTGGGCTGCCTTGTCATATTCCTCCACAAATTTCTGGGCCTCAGTTTCGTCTGTCACCAGGTCTATGGGACAGAGTGAAGGGAGATAGACAAGTCTCTCCTCCCCCCTTCTGCCCACCACCTCTTCATGGGAGCCCTCTTGCCCCCCAGCCTTTCCCACTTATTCCTTCCCAGCCCTGCCCCTCCCCCAGCCCATTGATCCCACTTGTGATCTTGGTTGTTAGACTGGCTGTGACCGGGCTGGCTGAGGCCGGGCTGGCTGTGGTTGGGTTGACTGTGACCGAGTTAGTAGTGGCCAGGCTAGTTGCTGTCCAGCTGGGTGTCACCTGGCTGAGGACCAGCAGGGGGTGCCCACAGCAGAGCAGTAGGAGGAGGAGGCTGGGCAGTCTCAGAGGAGCCCAACCTTGGCCCATGGCTGCAGGGCTCTGCACTAGCCACTAGCCTCTGACCAATAAGAATGGAACCTGAAGTATGACCTCATAGAGACAAGTGCCAGTCAACTTACCCCCTGGGGGCCCTCAGATCTGGGCACATCCCCTGGAGGATGCTGGGGAGAGGCGTGACCAAGCCCACCCCAGGGCCTTGCTTATGGGCCAAGGGGCTGCTTGGGTCTGGCTGGGAGGAGCTGACTCTGGGGACTCCCCTTAGCACCCACGCCATCTCAGCCCAGGCTTTACCAATGCCCTCTGGGTAATTGTTGGGCACCGGCGGGCGCCACTGATATTCTGGCCAGCCCAGGACCTCGCCATTTCGCTGGTTCTGCTCCTGCAGCCATTGGCTGACTGGTTGGAAGTAGTCAAGCAGTGGCTGGGCGTCCAGTGTATCTGTGCCAATCATGTCCTTCAGCAGCTCCTGCCAAGGCCTTGAGGAGCCCGCCTGAAGCAGCTTTCTGGGGCAGAGAGGGTGCCGTGGGCATGGGGGGCTCAGGCTGCAGTCTGCTACTGGCTCCAGACCACCTGCCCCTCTTTGGCCACTGTGTCCTCCCTTGCCCCCCAACTGAAGGACAAGAATCACAGCAGTAACACTGCAGGGTCTAGGAGCTCTGGGAAGCTGGCAGGGGACTTCCGTACTTCCCTGTGCCAGTCAGGGGCCCACTTGCGAAACACTTGATGAGAGGAAGGAAGGAAGCAGGGACGGGATGCCCTGCATCAGCCCAGACCTGTGAAGTCCAACCCAGGACAGCCAGCTACTTTCAGACCCACCCTCTGTCCACATCCCCTTCTTCCCTACCCCCCTTCCCACCACACACCGGAGCTTGTCCCCTGCTTGGGTAGACTGGTAGATGTCACAGCGGTGCAGTGGGCCCTGGTGGGCTGCCTCCTTGCACAGGGCCTGATGGAACTGGAACTGCAGGACAAAACTCACAAAGTACCTGCAGGCACAAGGTGAGCATTAGGAAGTGTACAGCCAGCCTCCATCCAGCTTCCCACAAGGCAAAGGTGGACCAAGGGCTGTGCTGGAAAAACCAAGCCTGACTCAGAACAGAGGACTGCCGGTCCCTCTGATTCAAGACCCTTAGTGGGGGTGGGGGTGGTCAGGAAGAACATGGGGACAAGTCATGCAAAGGGGCCACAGAAGGAGGAGGACTGAGAGTGTGATGGAGTTGCAGGGAGGCAACAGTACCTGATGTATGGTGTCATATTAGGGACATGAAACTTAGCTCCGGCATCAAAGTGGGTTTCGTTTCGGACAACTGGAGGGCAGATTCCCTGATACTTGGTTCTAGAAGAAGATAGTTAAATTGTCATAAGACGGAGCGGTCACACGAAGGCTGGTAGATTTCAGTTTTCCAGAAAAGGCTACTAGGCAGTATTCTTACCCAGCCATCCCTTCCCCACCCTGGTGAATTATGGAAGACTTCCTGGAGGAGTTTTATGCAGGAAAGAACATGGTGGGTGTAAGGAGGAAATCTGTGTCCTTAGAGAGGGGCTGACCGGGGCAGGAGCTCCTGGCTGTCTAGGAAATGGGAGGGCCAGAAGGGTCTGGTCTCTCTGAACTTACCGGAGATACCACCAGTCAAAGTTGTAGCGGGAAGGGGAGGTGCGTCCACTAAAGACCCCCCAGCGCCACTGGTCCACCAAGTAGCCAAAGGGCAGGAAGGCAATTTTTTCCAGTGCCATCTTTAGCAGGTAATTGATGTCGCTTTCTGCCGGGAGATGAGAAGAGAGAGATCTGAGAGGAGGAGTCCAGCCAGGAGAGGGTGGGCTGGGCCCAGCTTGGGACAGGATCATTGAGAGTGTTCAGGTGGGGTTCAGGGAGAGCTGGGAGGCTCTGGGTGAACCCGACCCTGCCTGAGCTGGGGCAGATGTGAGTGGGGAGTGGCTGAGGTTTAGGTGGGGCAAGGCTGGATCACTCCCCATTCCTACCCATGTCATCGGTGACTTGGTCCAGCAGGCCAATTTTGTGCAAGTGGGCAGGCGTGGAGACCGAGAGCGCCAGCACATCCCCGATGGCCTCGTGGAAACCCGGGTTGGCACCTTGGCGCAGGGACACAGGCTGGTCCTTGTACTGCAGATAGTACTGAACATGACCCATCTCGTGGTGCACCGTGGACAGCTGGTCCATTGTGACCCGTGTGCACTGCTTGATCCTGGGTGGGGAGGGGTGAGCATGAGGGGGAAGGACCAGAGCTGTGGTGGGAGCCTGGCGCCTGAGGGGTTAAGATCAAGGGCCCTGCCCTGGGGCTCAGAGGAGCTTCTGGAAGCATCTTGGCCCCTCCTAGCACTAGCATGCAGGCCCTTTCCCTAACTCCCTAAGGCATCCAGCTGACTACTTGTCAAGGCTGCTGGGGGTACAAACAACGGCCTAAAGGGTCTTGTCCACCTCCACACCCAAGACAGAGGCTGGGAGGGGACAGACCTGGGTGCCCAGGCTGCCCTGCCCCTCCCATGTCAGGACCTGAAATCCTTCCTGTTGTAGAAGTCCCAGGCAGACGCATGGCACACCACCTCCCGCCCATCGCTTGGTTTCTCCAGCATTGACTCTGCCCAGAACTCAGGAGGCATGGGCAGGAGCCCCAGGGAGGTGAAGAACTCCTCTGCCACTCGGAACATGTGTGTTGCGTTCCAGCCCTGTGTGCGGGGGGGGGGGGGGGGGGAGGACCCCGGGGGGAAGGGAGGTAGACAAGTCAGGGGCCAGCTGCCAGGAGCCCAATCTGGTTGCCTAGGGAGGTCTGGGCCCCCCCACCCCCCATCAGTGTCCTGCCTGTGAAGGACACTGTGGCCTCCCTCTCCAGAGGTAGGGTCTTGAATTGACCATAGATGGACGTGGATGCTGCTCACTTCTCCACCCCACAGAAAGGAATGCTCCGAGGCCTCTACCAACCCCTTTGTCCTCACATGACCCAATCTCACTCCTTTTTCTGTCCTGACTCCCTCTTGTCCCTGCCTCAGGTCTGACTCAGACCTTACCTTCTGGACCATAGTATTTGTAACATCCAGGTTGGGCTTGTCTGGGAAAGGCACTACCATGTCGTAGATGTTTTCCCAGCTCTGGGCCCACATGTCTCCTAGACAGACGAGGGAAACCAGTCAGCTTGGCCCCAATACCCTGAGCCCCACCACCTGGACTCTGGGGCAGGAGTCTCACACTGCCCCCCCCCTTGAGTGCTCCGAGGCCCTTGGGGCTAGTGGATCCACTAGAAAGCCCAGCTAATGCTGCTGGGGTTCTGTCTGACTGTGTGCCATCCCTACTTCCCACCCCTGAGGGCCACAGACATCTTTGGGTATTCTCCGCTGGACATGGAGTCTGCAGCTTCATTAAAACCCTGGTTTTGCTTTTCACTAGCTCTCAGACCTCTACCAACTCACCCGCACACGCACACCCTAAGCATCGTGTTGAACTAATAGTGAGTGATGAAAGGGATCGTGTGCCTCACAGTGCTGTGGGGATGTGTTCGGCATGGTGTGAGACATGATGAGGATGGTGACCCACCATCCCTACCCTGGGTGTTGTCCTGGGCTCAAGCTTCCCCAGGACAAGCCTGGAGACAAGACCAGGTACTTACCCAGCAGGTGAGCTGGGATGGGTCCCCTGAGGTTGATGAACTTGTCTCCGTATTGGCGGTACAGCGCTCGGCGGACGTAGGCATGGAGGTTCAGGTAGAGGGGTTCTAACTGATGGTAGAGGCGTTCCAGATCCTCCACAAAAGTGGGTGACTCGTACCAGGAGCGCCAGTAGGCCCCCGTGTCTGGGAAGCCTAGCAGGGGGAGGCAGGCAGGGGACTCAGTTGAGGCTCCAGGCTTTGGCACCTCCTTTGCCACGCTCCTGGCTCCAGACCTGTCTGTCTGCCGACTATTCTACCATATACTGGGGCTGCTTCAAGTTCCAGCTAAATAGATCCTGGAGAACACAAGAGGTCAAGTGAAGGAAGGTCCTGGGCTTGGGGAGCAGGGCCAGGAGTGCCAGGCAGCAGAGGGTGATGTGGGGGGCAGGCTAGCAGCATGTGGCAAGCCGACTGTGTTCCAGTCCAATTCCATATCCACTGTCTGTGTGGCCTTGGGAAGCTTCCTAACGTCTCTGGCCAGGATGTGGAACTTAGTATAAGAGCTGCTCTGGGCATTGTGGCTCAGTGGAGACAACAGGTTGGGGAGGGCATGTTGCTCCTGGACCAGGAGAGGCATGCTTACCATCCTGCTTGTATGCCTCATTGCTGAGGGCAGTGACGTCCTGGTACAGAGGTTTCAGTGGGATGCCCGCTGCGTCATGCCAGCCCTCCCAGGCAAACAATAGCATGGAGTAGCTCCGTGAGGAGGCCAGGATGTGAGTGAGCTCTAAGACACAGTCAGGCAGGGCTAGTTAGGAGACTTCCACATGGAACTCTACGACACCTTCTTAGCCATCACAGAGTACCACACTTGTCCAACCCATTTCAACCAGCATCCTCAATGCCATATCCTCAAAGCCAAGGGCAGCCTACAAGCTGGTGGGACAGGCTGGGGACTACACAAAACAAGTACCCAGGAAGAGTCCCTGTCCTAGGGAGATGATGATCTATGGTGGTTGACACAGGAAGAAGACATCCCCCAAACCCAGACCCCTTGTGGCTAACTGCATAGAATGGATGATCTCAGCACTGCCTAGTAAATGGGGTTGAGGGGGAGCAGGAGGGTATAAGGAAAGAGCACGTGGGATCTAAGACCAATGGAAAACTCCTGGGGAGAAGGGGAAAGGCTCTGGGCCATTAGGAGGAAGGACTTGTGATGGCAAAGGTCAAAGCACACACAGGGGGAGGGCTCTCGGTTTCTTGAAGTCAGTTCGTCAAGGCAAGTATGGGTATAGAACAAATGTCTGTAGCCTGCCCCCATTGGAGGCCAGTGACTTTGGGGTTTGCCCATTCTCTTCTCAGGGCTCCTAACAAAATGCTGGCCTCTTGGGTGCAGCAGGGTGATCTGGAAGGACTGGGAACCTCAGCAGAGAGAGGGACAGGACCGTACCTGGGTCCAGGGGCCAGCAGGTGGCAGTCTTGTTGGGGAAGCAGACCTTGGCCGTGGAGTAAATCCTGCTCATGTTACTTATTAGAGAGTTGTACTGGTGAGTCAGAGTTGAAAACAGGTTAGTGATGAACAGTCCTCCAGAGACCTCTGGCCACCCCCTTCTCTTTTTACTAGAAGGAAAAGATCTCTAGAAGGGAGGTGACTTGGACAACATCTTAGTTGCCACCTTGCAGTGAGGGTAATTTCCTCTCATTCTCTGGCCTTGGTGCCTCCCCCAGTCCTTCTTGACCTTTCTAAGGACAACCATCCACCAAATTGGCCTCTGGAGAAATTCTGAAGTCCACTGTTTCATCTATAATTGTGCTTTCTTCTCTACAATATGAAGGAGCTATGGTGGTGTAGTGGGTTACACGTTGGACTGCTTAACTGTGAGTTCAGCAGTTCAAATCCACCAGCCACTACTTGGGAGAAAAATGAGTCTTTCTGCTCCTGTAAAGATGAACAGCCTCAGAAACCCTATACAGGTTCGCTATGAGTGGCAATCTGGTGTGGCGCTGTGGTTTAATGTGCTGGACTGCAAAATCAGTTTGAACCACAAGATCGGTGGTTCAAGCTCACCAGCCACTTCTTGGAAACCCTATACAGGGACGCTTTGGGTCAGAACCTACTCTACAGCACTTAACAACAACAACCAGTGGGAACAGACTTTTTGGCACACTACCTCCACCACCACCACCACTGCTCCACAATATGATTATTTGCTCATGGAAAAGTATGCACAGGAAGTCATTTACATCTAGGGACCCTTTCCTTGCCAGGCTGCATTCCCCACTCCCAGCAGGAAGACAGGTGAGAGAGGCAGTCTTTCCTATCAGCTCTGCCACACCCCTCAGACCCAGTGGGCCCACCTGCTGCCTCTTGGCCAGAGCCAGGTTGGCAGTGCCCAGGATTCGCACAGAGCTGATGACCCTGCGAAGCTGCGGGTCGGTGAAATTCTGCCAGATGTTGTCATATAGTTCCTTGGCTTTGTGGCCCCAAGCTTCATCGAAATCCTGGCTGATCAGGGCTGTCTCCTCCTGTGGGCGCCAGAAGGATACGGAGACACAGGGAGCTCATGGGGGGCCATGCGGAGGCCACCCAGCTGGGGGAGGGGAGAAAGGTCAAGGGTATCCAGACCTCTGCCCTTGGAAATGGGGCTTCTGGGGCTTGGGAAGCAGCACCTCTCTAGAGTCAGTCCTTCAGGTCAGGACTTGGGGGCTCTGGCTCAGGGGAGCATTGGAGGGAAATGTGGGCCAGAAGGGAGGCAGAGCCAGGTGAGGGGAAAAAGATGAGTAGAAATGTTCGGAGGAGAGAGGGCAGCTGTCAAAAGAAGGGCTGAGGACTCCTGGACACACAGGCGCCCTCAGCGAAGGTTGCCGCTGACCTAGCCCCGTGTCACCCCTGGGATCTGTTATCTGGGGGACCAGAGGAGCGAGCTTCCCTATAATTCATGACTTTAATGCCTAGCACCATGCTGACACCCACCGCCGGTCTAATCCGAAGGGGAAGGGCATGGGTGTGGACAGGTGCGGGTCCCACGGATGGGGGCCGGGGGCGCGTTCCCGCTGGAGACTCCCCGCCCTCCCCACGTCCCACTGCAGGCCTGTGATTGGCCGCCCGAGTCCCGCCCCCGTGCCCCGGACCCCGGCACCCACCTGGCGCTGCGCATTCTCCGCTGTGATATTGGTGTCGTGCGCCCAGTTGGCGACCGTGTTCAGGAACCACACCTGCTCGGCGCTCGAGTTGAAGCTCTGCGCGAATTGCTGTGCCCCGGCCTCGTCTCTGGAAAAGTTTCCCGGCTGCAGCGCGGGGTCGAGCGCCAGGGTGGCGGGAGGCGGCGGCGGTAGCAGCAGCAGCAGCATTAACGGCAGCAGAGACGGCCCAGAGCGGCCCGACGCGGCCCCCATGGCGCGGATCGGGTGCGGGCGCGGCGAGGTGCGTGGCTGTTGCAGCCCCTGCTCCGCGCGCTGCCTGCGGGTTATAAAACCCGGCCGCGACACACCCCCTCTCCGCCGCCGCGCTTCCTCCGGGTTCCAAAGTACCCGGGCCGCGCGGCCTAACCGAGCGGGGCGTGGACCCGGCTTCCTGGCCCGCCCCGGGCAGGGGCGCGGGTCCGGGGAGGGGCCGCAAGGCTCGGGAGCTGTGCCCGGGGCGGCGGGCTGGAGCGTAGGTCAGGGTCTCTTAGAGGACGCCAAGCCGAGGGACTCTGCCCCTGCCTTCCCGGAGCGCACGGGACTCTGGCTCTCCACCTTCCCGGCCTCCCCTTACGCCTGTTTGGGTTCGGACTGATGAGGGGGGCTGGAGAGTGTCAGTCAGCGTTGGGAGTGCGGCAGGGAGAGGGTTAATGAATCGTTCCAGGTTCAGCTCCCTCACGGGTGGGTGGTGTGTGTGGCCTGCACGGGCGGGGAGGGGGGGGCGCGGGAAGCGGGAGTCCAGGCCTCAGGGCCCGTGCCTAGGAGAGGGACTGCCTGACACCCTGAGCAGCCCTGTCACCTGGTGGGGGCGGGGGGCGGGGAGGTGTCTCCTGACAGAGGCAAAATAAGGAGGGGCTGGCCTGGGGGGTGAGAGGGATCAGAGAGAGACCTAGGAGAGCAGGCGCACTCACTCGCCCTCCTCCCACGTGGAAACAGGGGTTGTCAGTAGCTGCTAAAGAAACCATCTCACATTATCCCAACAGAGTCATAACCTCAGACTGGTAGAATGTGAGGCTGCATAGAGCCCTGGGAGGTCACACCAACCCCTTGTTCTTAGAGATGAAGAAATTAAGATTAGCGTAGTGGTTACGAATTGGGCTGCGAACCTTAAGGTCAGCGGTTCGAAACTACCAGCCGCTCCGCGGGAGAAAGATAAGGCTTTCTGCTCCCATAAAGATTTACAGCCTTGGAAACCCTGTACAGGGTCACTATGGGTCAGAACCGACTCCATGGCACTTAACAACAACAACAACAAGGCACTGCTAATAGCTGTGGGTTTTTTTTCAGGGATGATAAAAAACATTCAGAAAAAATAGGATAGTGGTGTATGAATTCATAAATGTATTAAAACACACTCAATGATATACTTTAAAAGTGTGAAATTTATAGTATGCAAATTATGTTTTACTAAAGGTTGCTGCTTAAAGAAATATGCACCAAACCATTAATTCCATCATTCTATGCTCATTGGAGTCCTGGTATGGTGCTGTAGGATAAGCACTAGTCTGCAAGGTCAGTTTGAACCAAAAGGTCGGCAGTTTAAATCCACCAGCTGCTCTTTGGAAACTCTATACAGGGTTGTTAAGAGTTGGAACCAACTGGATGGCACTAAACAACAACAACATGCTCATTAGTGTGGTGCTGCATGTAAACCTACAGCACTGGACTGCTTATCTAAGCACTGGATTGCTAACTGCAAGGTTGGTGGTTCAAACCTACCAGCCGCTCCTCAGAAATCCTATACAGGGTTGCTATGAGTTTGAATTGGCCAGACAGCACTAAACAGTAACAAATGCTCATCGTGAAATCAATTGATTGGTTTTCAGAGGAGTTGAAATGAATGCCCACAGACTCCTCTTTGCTGAATCCAAATCTATCATCCTTCAAAGTCCAGCCCAAGCCCTGCTACTCCCATGAAGCTCCTCAGTTTCCTCAGTCCTTGTTAATCTTTCCTTTCCACATTTATTGAACATTAACTGTTTCCCTTCTCACTGGGCACCAAAAAAATGGCAAGGGGTGATAGCACCGGACCAGGAGCCAGGGAAACCTGAGTCACATTTACAAACCTTATATGACCTGAACAAAATCATTTCTTTGAGCTTCAGTTTTCTCATCCATAAAATGGCTGTGAAAATTTCAACCCATCTTCTCTCTTTGGATTATGGGAAGATGAAGACAGATCCTTTATCAGTTGTAAAGCATGACACAAAAGCAAGATACTATTGTTATTGTTGTTAAGTGCCATAGAGTTGGTTCCGACTGATGGTGACTCTTTATGGAGTTTCTGAGAAGTGGCTGATGGGTTTGAACTGCTGGTCAGAGATTAGCAATCTAATGCTTATCCTACAATGCCACATCGGGACTAGTAATACTGTCAGAATCATTGGCTAACATTTCTTATATACAAGGCAACTAAGCTGAAGGTCTATGGCCTGGTAACAGTTTAACTGAGGCTTACAGCTGACCTCTTGGTTGTTGCAAAGCATGACCTTGAATTGTGGACCACTAAAGGTGTTCCTTGTCAGCTGTGGCTCATGACATCAGGTTGTACCCAGGCTTAGCTGTCCCTTGAGTCTGCAAAGTGGGCTCAAGGGAAAAGGAAACTGCAAAGTAGGTCCTTGTACACAGCCATGACTTTTAGCTCAGTCTGCACAAACATTTAGCTGCTCTAATCTGTGTTCTGGCTAACTACTACAAGTTACAGCTTTTCTGATAAAGTTCTGCTTACTGTATGCACTTTCAGCACAAGATATTCCTGCATTCCTTACCCTCCCTCAAGCACCTCCCCTTGAGTTGTTGTTGTTGTTAAGTGCCATTGAGTCGGTTCCGACCCATAGTGACCCTGTACAGGGTTTCCGAGGGTGTAAACCTTTATGGGAGTAGAAAGCCTCATCTTTCTCCCTTGGAGCGGCTGGTAGTTTCGAACCGCTGACCTTAAGGTTCGCAGCCTGATTCGTAACCACTATGCTACTAGAGCTCCTTTCCCCTTGAGTGGTGTAGATAATAAACTTGCTGCACTTGGTTTATGTCGTAGTATCTCCATCAGAGTGCTGCATCCCACCTGTTCCCAACTTTACTTATTTCATTTGTGTTTTGTGTCTTCCTTTTATTTCTAATCTCCCGTCACCCCTACTTGGGTTTAATCTCTCTGCACAGGTCGCGGAGAATAGCCCCCAGCAGTTGGCCCCAGCACTGGTGGAGCAATGGTTAAAGCACTCCACTGCTAACCAAACCCAAAGGTCTGTGGCTTGAACTTGCCAGCTGCTCCACAAGAGAAAAATATAGCTGTCTGCTGCTGTAACAATCCAGCCTTGGAAACCCTGTGGGGCAGTTCTACTCTGCACTATAGATACAGGGTCGCCATGAGTTGGAATCAACTGAATAGCCATGGGTTTCGGGCAAAGAGAAATATAGGATTATTGTCCTTAATGGAGTGAGGAGAAAATTAGCTCTCCAAGACTAAATGCTCGAGGCTGGTATAAATAATAGGGGCTAAGAAGTTGGTGGAGGAGCTCTGGTAGTGTAATGGGTTATGCATTGGGATCCTAACTGCAAAGTCAGCAGTTCGAATCTACCAGCTGCTCCATGGGAGAACGATGAGGCTTTCTGTTACTGTAAAGATGTATAGCCTCAGAACACTATCCAGAGTTGCTATGAGTCAGAGCCAATTTGAGCTGGTGTGACTGTCTGCTCCCATAAAGATTTACAGTCTTGGAAACCCTATATAGGGTCACTATGATTTGCGATCAGCTTGATGACAGTGGGTGGGCTTTTTAAGAAGTTGGGAGAAAAGAATACCATATACAGGCAGGAGGAGACAAGATAGACTGCTTCAGTCAGAGGAAGGCAGGGTTTAGTCTGAGAATTGGACAGGGTTAGGGATAGCAAGGCAGAATGCTTGAACCTAGCGTGGAAATGGAAAGGTGAAGGACGTTGGGAGGCATAGAGGGCAGTTTGTTAAGACTTGAGACCAACACTCTCCAGTAGAATTTTCTGAGATAATGGAAATATTCTGTCCAACAGAAATACATTATATTTTCTAGTACCAAATTAGAAAAAGTCAAAAGAAACAGGTAACATTCATTACAATACTGTATTTTATTTAACACAACATACCCAAAATATGGAGTCCTGGTGTGGCACTGTGTGTTAATGCGCTGGACTGCAAGGTCAGTTTGAACCACAAGGTTGGCGGTTCAAGCTCACCAACCGCTCCTTGGAAACGCTATATAAGTTCACTATGAGTCAGAACTGACGCAATGACACTTAACAACAACTATCCAAAATATGATCAATTCAACATGCAATCAATTAAAAAACTATATTGACTGCATGTTGAAATAATGTTACAAAAATGTGGTGTACATTTGACACATCTTAACTTGGATGCTATATTGTCAACCATTAAGTGAAATGTAGTCTGACCAAAGCAATAAAATTGTGTTTGAACAGGAACAGAGGACCCTAGGACCATCAAGAGGGAAGAGCATGAGAGGAACAAGGGATCCCAACCAGAAAAGTGGTGACACAGAGATGGTGGCAGAGGCGATGGCACAGAGAGACAGAGCAGCAGGGGACTGGAGGCCCAGGGACTGAGAAAGGCAGTGTGCTTGCTGGCAGGAGGCTGGCTTGCAAAATGTGCTCTTAGAACATTTAAATGAATGAATATATATTTTCAATGTGGTATATTTACATTTAAAAAAAGGTAATTAAGTTAAATACTGCTAGCTGATGGTGCATGGAGGGGATTGTAATTACAATGATGTGTTGAATGTAAAATTGAGGATCTGCCCTGTAAATCTTCACTCACTCAATTCACAATAAAAGCTTTAAAAAAAAGGTTGCTTTTGAAGGAGTCCTTGGGTGACAGAGCTAAGTACTCTACTAGCAGAAAGGTTGGCAGTTCGAACCTATCCAGAGGCACCTCAGAAAACATTCTTGGCTATTTGCTTTCAAAAGGCAACTAAAGTGGAAAACACATTTTACACTGTTTCAGTTTTTATATGTAATTGAATTTAAATAGAATTAAAATTCAGCTCCTCAGTGGACTAACCACATTTCAAAGGTTCCGTAGCTATATCGGGCTAGCGGTTTCCATGTTGGGCAATGTAGTCCTAGGTTCAAGATTAACTAGCAAAAACCAGTTGCTTCAAGTTGATTCTGACTCATGACGACCTGTTTTTTTATTGTGCTCCATAAGGTTTCCAATAGCTGAGTTTTTAG